TATATATATATATAAAATCATATTGATGCATTTTGTTATTAGATAAACAAAAATTTAATTTAACGATTTTTTCCCACTTTTTTTAAATCACAATAATTAGATTTAATAAAACTTTAAATAAACTTTATCATTATGTATTGAAGAAACGTTCAATTTTCTCCTTTTCATAGTGTTAAATTGATAAATTGAATTAATTAAAAAGTTGATAGGCAAAAAAAAAGAAAGAAAACATATAAGCTATATGTCAAATTGATGAACTAAATAAATTAGAAAGTTAATAGAAAAAAGGAAAAAAAGAAATTCATACGGTATATTTGATGAATTCATATGTGATTTTATGAAAATGATAAATTTTTGGTAAATGTTAGCAAAAATTTGAAAAGTTACAAATTTTAAAAAATTTCATTTTTGTTCCGATATATGTCGTATTTTTGATCAGAATTGCTATATGTTATATAGAATGATTTATCTATGTTTCGGATCGAAAAATGAAAAAAAAAACTTGTTTTTCCTCATCTTTTACACCTTCATATTCCTTTTTACATCGTATCATTTGCTTTTTATTTATTCCATTTTTTTTTTTTTAAACAGATCAAAGTATCATTTGTAGTTGAAACACAAAATACAATCAACAATTCCGGATTGATATAATTTTTTAAGTTTATTTATGAAATTGAATTGATAAGAAAATTAATTATAGTAATGAATCATATGCATTTGTAATACATACAAATAGATATGCAAAATGTATTCCTAAAACAAAAAAAAAAGAAAAAAAACCCATGAAATAACGATAGCATTTTATTTATCCTAAAATGATAAAATGATAAAATGATAATAACAGTTTATCAAAAATTGTACAGCATAAATGATGACAATGTATAAAATGATACAATGCTTAAATGTTTTGTATTATTAAATAAAAAATTTGAAAAAAAAAAAAAAGAAAGGAAAAGGAAAAAGATAGTCTGTCTGTACATTTAATTTGCACGTATGAACGATGAAATTTCACGTACATTTCACGTACAAATCATACAGTTTCAATTACGTACAACGTGATGAAATTTTAAACGTTTCGGAAAATTCGTTTCATCAAATTTTTGGATTAATTCATTATGAGAATGTATATGTTTATATAAGATCAAAATAGTGATAAAATTACATACCAAAATTTTACATATCAAAAAAAAATTTTAAAGAAAAAAAAAGACAAATTTGGAAAAAATTAAATTTTTTCCATCAGTCATTCTTGTTAATTTTAGTAAATTTAGTAATTTTTAGCTTAAGAATTCATTAAACAATATAAAGTTTATTGTGGGCGAGAAAAAAGAAAAGAAAGAAAAAGTTGAAAGTAAAATGAATTTTATATTTGAAAGAAAAATTTTTTTAGATTAATAATTATTGAATATATTTTCTTTGAAATGAAAAGAAATAAAATGAAAGGATAAAACTATATATATATATACTGAGAAAATGCAGAGTAACAATAATTAAAAACGATAATATTATCAAAACAACATCTACCACAATATACAGGATATGACGCAATGCAATAACTTTTGTCCCATTTTGTATAATTATTTTATCAAACAAAATTTTATCATTTCAATCAGAACACTTCATAAATTGTAACTAATTTTAATTACAAATGTATAAATATGAATAAATTGTTAATATTGTCAAGATGTGGAATGCTAAATAATGGCAATATTGATTTTATTTATATTTATTCATTAAGTTATTACAATTGATAGTGTTGTATTTGCTTGTTAAATTTATACTAACAAGAAAAAAAAAAGAAGACAATACCGAAGAAAACATATATGTTTTATATGTATGTATTTGTATATATATAAAAAAAAAGATATAATAATATACAAAAATGAGAGATCAACTGATAAAAACTTTGAACACCAAA